CTTCTATCTTCATTCTTGTTTCCGTCTTCCTTTTCTCAATTCTCCTTGGTTCCATCTTCATTGTTTTCGTGATATTCCCCAGCTCACAACCAACACTTGTAGATCCTTTCACCTGGACAGTAACTTCACGTCCTCTTAAATTCCTCCCAGCACTCTTGGCTCCTACACAACCCGCTCTCAACTGGCTCAATCTTGCAGCCAACATTACCTTATCGAATTCATAAGTGGCACCTTTGCCTCTCTCTCTCTCTCTCTCTCTCTCTCTCTCTCTCTCTCTCTCTCTCTCTCTCTCTCTCTCTCTCTCTCTCTCTCTCTCTCTCTCTCTCTCTCTCTCTCTCTCTCTCTCTCTACGTTGAAATAACGCTTTGTTTGTGTGATGAAAGGCTGAGAAAGCTGTTGAAAAACTATAGAAAAACTATCATATCCTGGCCCCAGGAAATGTTTGTAGACGTCTGCTCGTACTATGCAAGTTCTTCAGTGGACCAGCCAGAGGCTTAGGGCCCGCGCACGAATATTCACGAAAAAAAGGTATCTCCTCTTTGCTGTCATGTATGACAACCTCCCTGGCAACCCCTTCATGGAACACTCTACTTACGTTGCCATAAACGCTTCCGGTGCCGGACATCCGGTTGCCTCGGGTCGTTCAACTCACCACCAGTCACCACCAGTCATTACCAGTCACTACCAGTCACTACCAGTCACTACCAGTCCACTCGTCTCATCATAAAAGGCACAAGCTTGGAGGACTGAGATGACAAAGACCTCCATAATTTGTTTATAAATTTAGCGACCAAGGGTAAGAGTATTGGGCAGCGTCACTCATCCTGTGAGTGACGCTGGCTGTCATCTTGTGAGTGACGCTGCTGTCATCTTGTGAGTGACGCTGCTGTCATCTTGTGAGTGACTGCTGTCATAACACTTTGTACATCACCCCAATAGAGAAAATCCGCTGGGCTGTTCATCCTGTCACTTGTACCCAGATGCGGCTGGGACTTACTGATCTGTCTCAGGTGAACAGTTCATCAGACAAGACAACTAACATGTACCATCCCTTAACCTGACTTTATCCTGCGGGCGCAAATTGGGAGGAATCTCTAGAGAACAGTAACTTTTATGCGATAATATTTTCCTTACTCAATGTGTGTTATTCTTATTCACGTATTTCTAATGTTTCTTATATAATCTTAGATGGGGACAAACTCAAGGAGAAGTTCATGTCTTGGACCAAATATTCTGCAACTCCGCTGTTGTTTTGTAGAAGTTGTGATACGAGAGATGGTCTCAGTAATGTGTCATCGCTACCCAAACATACAGCATCGTATATGCAGGCAGAAGTGACGCTGCCGTCACTTCGACTTGAGAATGGTCCAGGACGGACCGAAACGTCGTCGTCCCTTCACCTTCTAGTGTGTGGTCTGGTCAACATACAACATCGTACTTTGAGTGAGAAATGCTCAAATTTCCTCATATTTTGCTCGATCGCCGATGGTGCAAGTGGATAGGCACTATTCCTTCTACCGTCCTATCCCAGCTCCTTCCCGCCAAACACACACCGAAACTACGACGTTGGTACAACGTTCGAACAAGTTTTAACACCTCCTAACCAGTTATAACAACCAATATAGCAAGTTGTAACAACGTTCTAATACGTCATAAACACGTTAAGCCAAGATGTAACAACTTTATTACAAGTTGTAACAAGCGGAAAATAGAGACAGTTTCAGTTTGTGTTTCCAGGGTTGTTCTCGTCTCCCTTCTAAGTGCTAGATCGTCATTCAGGCTTAGCGCTTACTCCTCACACTACCTTAGCTTCCTTTCTTCGCAACACAAGTGGGAAGAACATCGTTGTTTTGGAATGTTTAAGGAGAAAATTAGCGGGAGTTATTTTATTTTTATTTTTGTTGTTGTTAAGGAAAGTGTTGGTAGTTGACTATTTTGGGGATAAGGTAAGGTAATCAGGAGAAAGCACTAAACTATTACGATTGCATATCACTTGGAAGGGACATGAGGATAATGATATGGAAAAAGGTGGAGGGAAGGACTCTCCAACCACTTGGACGGTCGGGGGATTGAACACTGACCTACGAGAAGCGAGACCAGTCTTAAGTGGTTGGGCCATTTTAGGGATAAAGGAAACTCCTTATATTTCATGCTTGAAAAGCCTATAGTGAACATGTGCACGTTAGTGAACTACCACGCTCTTCTGAACACCCACCTTCCACCGAACACTCACCACACTGAACAACCGCACACCGTTGAACATCCATGTCCCACTGACACCCACAACCAACTGAACACCCACGTACTAGTGAACATCAACGACCCACAGAGCATCAGAGCATCCCACTAAACACCCCCCTCCCATCAGCCACTTCAAGTTCAAGTACGTTTATTGAGACAAGAAAAAAATACATCTCAAAGGTATAGAGTAGCTTAGGCTATTTCTACCCCCCCACTAAAACTTCCCACTGAGGAGTACCACTCTTCTTTATACCACTAAGTGCTAATCTCTAGAATATATTCCCCGAAGAGTGCTTCGATCTTCACTGAACCCTTGCATATGCGGAGGCAGTTCGCTGCTGGTGCGTGCAGAGCAAGTCTCAAAGAGCTAACCTCTATATTTTTCTGTTTATATTTATTGATTACATATTTACTTTTGACTTCAGTCCCCTTGAGCTTGTGATAGTGTCACCTTGCGGTGTTGCTTGCTTGTATTGCTGTGTCGATAGCATATGAAGGACTCCCGGGACAATTGGTACGTATGTTAGGCTGTATGAACGTAAGTAATAAAGTTGATATTAGGTTATATTTGTATTTCAGTGCATTATTTTGGTCAAAGAAGATAGTGCCTACTAGTGCTAATGTCTTCCGCCGAGGAGGATTTACAGGTCACGTGACCTATAGCCAATGGGAGGAGACCTCAGATACCATTCGTCAGCGAGCCGAGACTTTGAAGCCTTCGAGGTTTTGAAGCCTTGGAGACTTTGAAGCCTTCGTCAGCTACCTGAGACTTTGAAGCCTTCGTCAGCGACCTGAGACTTTGAAGCCTCGGAAGCTTAAAGTACTCAAACTTTGAGCAGAAACGTTAACATAGGAGTAGCATGTAAGGAGCGTTTTAAGGTAGGAGTTACTGGAGGACCCCCGTCCTATGCACTCCTGATCTTCGATATACAGTTTATTATACAAGACTGACAGAGAAGTTAACAGTGCTGTGCCCAGTGACAGGGCTTACTGCTCTGTTACCGAGGTCGATGTGAGACACTGTCGACAGTCCTTTTCTGGTCCTTTCTGGAACTCAGCAGCAAGCCATCTGGTGCCTGAAGGAGCAACATTGAATATTAGTTATGTTCTGTATTATTCATTCCAGGAATCCAGTCGTGTGAGTCCCAAGATAAGTGGTCGTATTGAGCTTGGTAGAAGCCCGACTGTTTATGCTAATCAACTATTTTCAGGGAATTACACTGTCATTGAAGTCTGTCTCAAGGAGGGAAAACAAACACAGCGGAAGGAAGGAATTATCAAGGGAAAGCGCCAAGCCATTACGAGTATATAGCACTGGGAAGGGGTCAGGATAAGGATTTGGGATGGGACGGGGGGAAGGAACGGTGCCCCAACCACTTGGACGGTCGGGGATTGAACGCCGACCTGCATGAAGCGAGACCGTTGCTCTACCGTCCAGCCCAAGTGGTTGAATTGATTAGTTCAATTAAACTTAATTTATATAATTGATTGATTTAAACTCAAGATTTAATTAATTAGTTCCTGCTCTGAGCAGGAACTAATCGTTCGCTGCTCAAAGAAGAAGAATCACCTCAATGCTACAAGTAAACGACACTTTGAGGAACTGCTCCTGTAATCTAAAGGAAACTATTTTGATTATGGAGATTATGGAAGACATCTTGATTGATCTACTTATATATCTCCTTAAATGTGTATTAAATTGTGTGCTCAGCATCACTTGTTAAGGTCTCAGTTGGTCGGCCGAGCACACTGGACTTGTGATCCTGTGGGCCCGGGTTCGATCCCGGGCGCCGGCGAGAAACAATGGGCAGAGTTTCTTTCGCACTATGCCCCTGTTACCTAGCAGTAAAATAGGTACCTGGGTGTTAGTCAGCTGTCACGGGCTGCTTCCTGGGGGTGGAGGCCTGGTCGAGGACCGGGCCGTGGGGACACTAAAAAAGGCCCCGAAATCATCTCAAGATAACCTCAAGATAACTTCAAGATAACCTAAGGTGACTCTGTTGTGTCTGTATGTATTACAACTACCAGACTTTAATCCATCCGACTTGAGCAGTCTACGAGTGCAGCGTCAAGGTAGTTTGTTGCCTAGATTGATAAGGTGGTTAATGGTGGCTTCTGGACACCTGAGTATTTCTTGCAAGAGAAGTGTCATTTTAATGATTGTAGCTCAGAACTATGTAGCATTATAAGATGGTGTCAACTTGTGGTGGTGTCAACTTGTGAATATGTTGGTTGGGTTGTACCCAAGTATTACTCTGTTATTTTGGATGCAGATGCTTTTCACATTATATTGAATCACTGTGCAATGCCAGTAATTGAATACTCTTATAATCTCTTATTGAAAAACGCATTGAGAATGAGGATACATGCCAGCAATCCTTCCTCATTTTCCTTTCCATCCAAACTAAAGAAAGTTAAAAATGTGTGTGTGTGTGTGTGTGTGTGTGTGTGTGTGTGTGTGTGTGTGTGTGTGTGTGTGTGTGTGTGTGTGTGTGTGTGTGTGTGTTATTGTGTGTGTGTGTGTGTGTGTGTGTGTGTGTGTGTGTGTGTGTGTGTGTGTGTGTGTGTGTGTGTGTGTGTGTATGTGTGTGTGGAACAGGTGCGCAAGCCATCTAGAATCCAAAATTAGAGCCCCATCAGAATACCAAACTGCATTCGAAACTTTGGCTAAAACTCACGTCCGTACAGAGGAAGTCGAGGGCCATAAAATGGAAGCAGTTGTGGTCCTCCTGTGGACGCAAAGTCTCCGCTTCCCGCCATAATACTCTCTCGCGCTCCTTACAAACAGGAATTAGGAAGTCTTCTGAAAGCATTTTACGCTCTCGGTATTTCCTTCCTTGGACGTATTTGTGCTCTATATCACAGCGTTTCGTTAACACTGCACTTTAACTGAAAAAAAGTAAAATTGTGTCAAACTTTGAATTGTGGAAAGCAACTGGGATTTGATAATAACGTTTCCTGTGTTAAATGAGGTGGAATTATTATTATTTTTTTTGTAGATGAGGCGTCACAATAACGTGGCTGAAGAATGTTAACCAGACCACACGCTAGAAGGTGAATCGACTTTAGAATGGTCCAGGACGGACCGAAACGTCGTCGTCCCTTCTCCAACTGATGATATTCGGCTGACGTGCGATTCAGGAGACATGCTCGGCTTTAGGTCTAGTTCCAGGGGCCTTTCTGTCTTTCCCCAACAAGGCTGAGAGAGTTCCCATGTTCCCAAGTGGCATACCTCATTGATGAGTAGTTCCCAATCTCTGGGAACTATCTGGTCTCAGTCTCGGTATCCGAGGTGGTGTCTTGTCTGGCCCCGTGGCGCATGCTCCACCCGCTTCTATCAAGATTGAGGGTTTAATTTCTTCACTTCTAGTAATTTCAGTGTTACCCTCTGCCACAAGTTTATGACAGTTCTCTGTTAACTCAGAGCGCTCCCCTTATGCTCTCTCGAGAAGACCTCGAGGAGTTTGTCTATGAAGTTTCTCACAATCTTTAATTTTTGTTTTCTGTGAATGTGTCAGTTTCATCACTTGTTCCATTAGTATTAATGTTCTAATATGGCTGTTTGGGACGTATGTTTACTTAATCTGCTCTGCCAATTTCTATTGCGTTTCTTCTCGTCTTATCTCACCCTAAGATACGTAAGTTTCTCACTGCTGTACCTCTCTTTTTATTAAGCTTTGTGACCGTGTAAGTGTGTATATATACTATGTTTTTTGTATTTACTATTTGTCTGAAGAATCGAGCTATTAGCTCTTGGATCCCGCCTTTCTAAACAATCTGTTTTTCCTCTTATGTCTGCTACATATATTTCTCTGTAACACACGTACACACACATTCTCAGGAAGCAGCCCGTAGTAGCTGTCTAATTCCCAGGTACCTATTTATTGCTGGGTGAAAAAAACTCTGCTCATTTGTTTCCGCCTCGGCCGGGAATCGAACCTGGGCCCATAGGACAACGACTCCCGAGCGCTGATCACTCAGCCGCGAGGCCCCTGTTTGTGTGTGTGTGTGTGTGTTTGTGTGTGTGTGTGTGTGTGCGTGCGTGCGTGCGTGTGCGTGTGCGTACTGGTAGAATTGTTGCTCCTTCCTCGTTAGTTTTGCATCATCCGCAAACATTGACTGTTCAAGCTACCTCTCGGGTAGGTTGCTCACATAAATTAGGAACACCAGTGGTCCCAAGACAGCGCCTCAGGGAACCTTACTTGCCTCATCCCTCCGCTCCGACACTCCTCTGAATGTGACCCTTTGTTTTCTGTCCACCAGGAAGCTCCCAAACTCAGTTCAGTGTTTTTCTAGTTATCCCAGCTTGCCTTTCTCTATTACGCACCAGTTCTCTCATGAGGAACAGTATCACATGTTTCTTGTCAATCCAGGACGATGCAGTCAACCCCTTGTGCTTGTCTGTTGGTGACCTTGTCATAGGACTATCAAGTTTAACCGTCATAACTCATTGACTTCCCCTCTTCTAAATACTTGTTCCCTATCTGTTACAAAGTTCATCCTCTATCATCTACATTGTTCTTATCCCGTTTCCCATCTCCAGCATTTTTGTAAGAAATATGTTACAGAGATAGTGATCTGTAAGTTAGCATCTATTGTCATTTCCTCTTTTATGAATATTGGTACTTCGTTTGCCTTTTTCAAATTTCCGGGAGGTCTGCAGTCTTGAGTATTTTGCTCAAGGTGTTGGTGATAAAGAGTGTTTGCAGCCACCTTCAGCATCCATGGTAATATCTGGTCCTGCTGCCTTGGTTACCTTGAGGTGCTTCCGGGGCTTAGTGTCCCCGCGGCCCGGTCGTCGACCAACCGTCGACCTGGTTGCTTCTAGATCATTCAGGTGTTGTTTTACCTCCTCTTCAGTGATTACTGTATTGTGTAATGTTGCTTCTGGTGTCTTATCATCTCCCTCCCTCTCTCCCTCGGTCTTTGTTGTTGTTGTTATAGATTCAGCTACTCGGAACAAGTTCCAAGTAGCACGGGCTATGGTGAGCCCGTAACTTACCTGGCACAGGAGCGGCGCTCGGTCTCCACACTGGCTCTCATTTGTAGACTTCTTGGAACCTCTTGTTGAGCTCCTCACTCATCTCCTTGTCGCTTTCTGTGAAAATCTCACAGAAAACGACAATTTCACAGTAGTTTGACACGATTTTTTCTCGGCTTATTTTTGTTTGTCTTGCCGCTGTGTTTTTTCAAATGATTTATTAGTTATCCTCTTAACTCTGATGTTCTGGTCTCTGTTCTCTGTCTCTTAACTCTGATGTTCTGGTCTCTGTTCTCTGTCTCTTAACTCTGATGTTCTAGTCTCTGTTCTCTGTCTCTTAACTCTGATGTTCTGGTCTCTGTTCTCTGTCTCTTAACTCTGATGTTCTGGTCTCTGTTTTCTGTCTCTTAACTCTGATGTTCTGGTCTCTGTATTCTGTCTCTTAACTCTGATGTTCTGGTCTCTGTTCTCTGTCTCTTAACTCTGATGTTCTGGTCTCTGTTTTCTGTCTCTTAACTCTGATGTTCTGGTCTCTGTTTTCTGTCTCTTAACTCTGATGTTCTAGTCTCTGTTCTGTCTCTTAACTCTGATGTTCTAGTCTCTGTTCTCTGTCTCTTAACTCTGATGTTCTAGTCTCTGTTCTCTGTCTCTTAACTCTGATGTTCTAGTCTCTGTTCTCCGTCTCTTAACTCTGATGTTCTAGTCTCTGTTCTCCGTCTCTTAACTCTGATGTTCTAGTCTCTGTTCTCTGTCTCTTAACTCTGATGTTCTAGTCTCTGTTCTCTGTCTCTTAACTCTGATGTTCTAGTCTCTGTTCTCTGTCTCTTAACTCTGATGTTCTAGTCTCTGTTCTCCGTCTCTTAACTCTGATGTTCTAGTCTCTGTTCTCCGTCTCTTAACTCTGATGTTCTAGTCTCTGTTCTCCGTCTCTTAACTCTGATGTTCTAATCTCTGTTCTGTCTCTTAACTCTGATGTTCTAGTCTCTGTTCTCCGTCTCTTAACTCTGATGTTCTAGTCTCTGTTCTCTGTCTCTTAACTCTGATGTTCTAGTCTCTGTTCTCTGTCTCTTAACTCTGATGTTCTAGTCTCTGTTC